GGATAAGGAAGGTTAGTAAGAAACTATTAAGAACTTGTTAGAAACTTCAAAATTATTTATCATTGTCATTAAATTCTGGAGATTCTGCAATAAAATTTTTTCAACTATTCACTGTCTCAATTACCAATATTGTCATTGGAGTCTCCATCCTTTCCTAAACTAATTTACTCCCATTATAGTAATTAAAGAAACAGTCCTCTCTGTACCTGTATGGAAACAAGTTTAAGTTTTCCTAAACTCTAAAGCTCTTGGAAATAGGCAGTACATCTTTGTATATTTGTATCATCACAGAATTGTTCCCAGAGGTTTTTTAATGAATAAAAAGGTACATTTGCTATATTATGATATTAATAATCCAGATTGTCTACCAAAATACTCTGGATTACATTTCATGCTTTCAAATAATCTTCTTTGGATTCACATATAGCACTCTTTCAGGCAGAAGGAAAAGAACTAACCAATAACCTCCTACCTCCGTTGGTACTCCTCTTATGACTTTGGTCCCCGAGGAACAACAAGTACTGAGGCTGACGAAAGTCAGCTGCTGAATCTATAAAACTGACCACCGCATTGCAGACATGGTAATGTCACCATGCTGAAGTAACACCACCTGGTAACTTCCTCAACATCTGTGCTCAGAAAATGCATGATTTTGCTTCCCAATATGCTTATTTGGAGAGATTACTAACAAAGCCCCACTTTTTTTTTTAACTCTTGAATACTATAGAGAGATATGTAAGAAGACGTGTGTGTACCTTCAAGTTCACAAGAGATCAGGTTTTCTGAATGTGCCTGTTGTAAAGGGTGAAGCCTTTAGAAACTGTGTTTTGGGAAAATACACACATGACTTTTCCTCATATATATATACACTTTAGAGTTTTAAAAATACCCTGTAGGAATAGACATAAGCAGGTTATTATGTAACACTGCTTTCAAATGTTTCATGTGTTAACTGATTGTTCTAACCAGGCAGCAGGGTTCCATCATTTTATTCCTTCCTTTCAATATTTGTTGAACTTTTTGATATTCAAGTTACTGTTTTATGTGCTGGTGATGCTTTAGTGCATAAATTAAATGCTTTTATTTAGAGGGGTTTTTTTTCCTACACAGGACAGAGATTAACTGAAAGATAGACATTAAATAAACATTTCTTAACTTAGAAAAGGACAAATTCAAAAAAATTCTTTAAAAATCCAAGTCTTTAATAAGCATTAAAGCAATGGTATAAACACCTTATTTATTGTTTACCATCTATCAGGGACTTTATATGTATTACTTAGCATTTTAAACATACTGAAGTGTATTCTTCATTGCAACAAAGATTTATTCCAACATAGGTATCAGGTACCGTATCAACAACAATAAAACAAAGAAGAGGTTGAGTCTCAGAAAGAGAAATTTACTTGTTCAGGATAAAAGAAACTAGTAAATGGCAAAGCCGGGATGTGAAATAAGCTTGCCTAACCTGAGAAAGCAGTTATGAAGTTATTGAAACAACCTTGTTGGTGCAAACAATAGTTATAGCAAGAAAGAAGTCATATTACTTTAAAGGAAAAGAATGTGTGATTCCCTAACAGATTAGATAGATTAAAAGCATAAGCCAAGAATGTCTCCATGATTTAGAGGACTGAGGCCCAAGCAATACAGTGGAAATGAGGAGGGCTTCCTTTAGCCAGCAATGAGAAATCACTTTGGACATGATGAGCTGGAAGTGTCTATGATTCCTCCGAGTGAAACTGATGAGTAGACATTTAGGTTTGTAAGTCAGAAGTACAGAAGAGCAATTCAGAATAGAGATAAATGCTTTAGAGTTAACTACATATAGGTAGATAATGATAATGTGATTTTGAGTGTGGTGAGACTCATGTGCCCAAATGCAAGTGGCAAATTTACTGTTCAAGCGGCAAATTTGTTAGTAGGTTATGGAAATAGAAGGACCCAACCTTTTGGGGAAGATAGAGGGCTAAAGGGTTTTGTGATGAGAGATAGGTTATTGAAGGCTTATGGGCAGTACCAACTGTGTGGGGTTTTTTTTGTTTTGTTTATTTGTTTGGTCAGTCTTTTGTTATTGTTTTGTTTGCTTTAGTTTTTGGGGTTTTTTGTTTTTATTTTGGAGGGTTGCTTATTTTGGTTTGCTTATTTGTTTTGGAGAGTTGACTCTTTTTTTATATACTTGGAGAAAGTTTCCAATGAGATTCAAAGTTGTACCCATAATGTAGTTCTTAAGTTATAGTTTCCCTTAAAAGTAATCTACTGGTCAGAATTCTTTTTAAAATAAAAATTTGTCCCTAGGCTCACTCCTAGAAATATTTGGTCAGAAGATTATAGATGGATCCTCAGAACAGTCTTTTTTTAAGATTCTGAGTGAATTTGATGTAGTCCAGGGACCTCCCTTTGATAAATTCTGCCACTGATCATTAGATAAATTTTTTGCATTAGGGTTTGCAAACTGCCTCATTGTAAACATTACACAGGATTGAATCCTTGAAACAGGATTGTGCCCTGCTTCAGTGATCCCAGGCAGGATGCCCACAGGTCACTTCCATTTACTACAATTGTGTTTCTAAGTGTCTTTCCTTTAATTACATTGGAAGTGATGCTGGGCATAGTTTTTGAAGAGGCAGAGGAAACCACTTGAGAACAGGAGGGGATGGAATGGGACACAGTGAGGAAAGGGAGGTTGAAGGCCTTGCCTACTGGACTCTATAATCTAGAGTACAAGGTAATGCTATGTTAACACTAATACTTCAATAAATTATGGTTCAAGTGTTTGTTCAACTCAACAGACAATGATGACGCTCTCCAAGCCCCATCCAGTCCTGGACTCTAGCCACGCAGTTCCTCTCAGGGACTAGCCTGTCAGTCAAGAGGTGTAATCCTTTTGTAGGTAAGGAAGGGAGGAAAGGAAGATGGAGGGGCTCTATCTTCCATTCTAAGCAACTAAAACTCTCCCATTCACATCTGAATAAACGAGCCCAACTCAGACTCTGAGTGTCGAAACAGCTTTGTGAAAGCATGTTATTCCTGTGCTGCCCTGGACTACAACAAACCTGAGTACAAATGATCACCTGAAAATCAGAGGTTGTCACTTTGTTCATCCGAATGGAAAGATAAGGAAGTTGTTTTTAGTCAAATGGACCATGTCCATTGAATTTTCCTTTTCTTGCAGCCAAACATTTCTTAGGTTCTTTGCGACAGGGTACATAAATCTCTAGTTATTTTCCAAATAATGCAATAGAGCTTCCCAATACTAGTGTATGTCTTGGAGCAATAGCAAAGCTAAACCCTTTTGAACTCCTTAAAGTTGCTAAGTGATTTTAGAACACAGTAGATTCGAGTAAAATGAGTGGAATAAAATTAATAGAATGTTGCTATTTAGAATTTCAGTGTGAACCTCAGATGATCCACCTGAAGCTCAGCACTTGAAAATGTTGCTTTTTCTTAGTAATACAGTATGCTTGAAAAAGGAAATGAAACCATTTTATCTCCTTGGTCTTTCTCTAAATTTCTATTACTATCAAGAAATTTAAAGTAATATTTTTATGTTTACTTGTAATAAAATTCTTAAAACCCAACTTGACTGAACAATAATGTCTCTCTCTCTTTCTCTCTCTCTCTCTCTCTTTCTCTCCCCCCCCTTGCTTCTTGCCCACTCTCTCTTCCTAGTGCATTCTTTTTCCTTGATATTCTCCCTCTCCTTTTTAATTTGGCTGATTTTGTTGATCTTGTGATGATGGTTTGGAGCTTTTTAGCATAAATCTGCATGTATGCCTTTTAGATATATGAATAAAACTAGATGTTAAAAGTAGTATTCTTCCTGACTAACTTTCACCTGGCACAGTATGACTAGTACCCAGATATCAAAGTGAAATGAAGACAATTCCTTCCTCTGCAATATTGCAGAATTTATAAAAGAAATGAAAATCATCTTCTTCCTCTTCCCAACTTTTTGACACTTGAGCCAGATGAAGGATATAAAATGAGGCCAGACTAGGAACACTAGAGACTGATGACAACATTCACAGAGAATGGTGGCGGGCTGTGAGCCGTTACCCACTCCTTTTGCAGGAAGAATGGGGAGCAGTGGACCTCTCTAAACTCAAGGCTGATAAGGATATCTCAAGGGAACCACACAGAGAGCTTTGATATTAGGATATACAAAGAATTGGTACATGACTCCCACCTTAAAAAGCTAAAACTGACAGTAGGCTGGAGTCTGATTTCACTTGATAAATCTGTCAGAAGAGAAAGGCCGACAACATGTTACTGAAGCAGGAGGCTCTAGATACACTGAAGTGAGCTTTTGTTCCCTTAGTTTGAATAAAGTATGCATACATTTCTCCAGTGAAGAGGTAGGGTCTTATGACAGAGTCACTGTCAGTGGAGTTACAGGTTAACCCTAGAAAAGGCATGTGTTCCTTTAGGTCAAGGAATGTGCATGTTTCAGGCATCATTTATAGTTTCTACTCCCAGGGAATTCTCAAACTGCTGACCAGTCAGCCCTCCCTCTTTTAGAAATTAATTTCTAAATGAATTTGCTTCATTGGGATAGAACAAAAAGCCACGAATTTCATTTCCATGATGCATTTAGATGCTCGTCTAAGGAGTCTCCTCCATCAAGCACCCAAAACTACATCACTGATAAGTTAACTGCTCCCTTCAGATGTTTAATTCATGTTACTATTCTTGGTCATTATTGATGAGGCAAAGCAGAATGATGAGGAAAAAATAATCTGCGTCAGGAATGGCTTTGATAATAAGAATGGGCAAGGTAGAGTAAGTGAGCAGAAATGACGGTAGCTGTGGCCAAAAGCTAATTGTACTCATCTCTTATTTGTGCCCGACATTTGACAAGAAGTGTTTTTTTTTTGTTATCAATAAGTTCTCTTATGTATTTGTCTTCTCTCGATCAGTAAGTCTAGTTTGAAAACCCAAGTATGAATCAGTTACAATACAATTACTAATGCATTTTTATTATAGTTTAAACATAATATGGGAACTGTAAACAAAAGGCCGAAATTATAACACCAAGAAAATTTTTTAACTTCTACCAGTAGCCATCCCGCTGCCTTCAGTGCAAAAATCTCTGCTTGCACTGAGAAGCAGTTCTGTGCTGGGCATGGGCTGTGTGTATAATTTCACTGTCTCTCTTAGCCTGTCTTGGTCATCACAGGAATTAAGCAGGAACACAGAGAAGTTGAATTAGGAGAGTTTTATAAACAGTGGTGTGCTAGTAAGCCAGCTATTCAAAATAAAAGCTTGATTTGTACTCTTTGTTGTATACTGTTTACACCAATTCCCATAGTATAAATACTCCCACCACAGGCAAATTCAGTGATGACTGGATGAATAACCAGCGTGCTAAATCCCTGAAAATTTAACAGTTGGCTTATATGAGTTAGTTCTGGCCCACTCCAGCATTCTACTTCTTATAATTCAATAAAAATCAATCAAGGATTCTATAAATATATGTGACACAATTTTAATTTCCTGAGAGAATATGCAAATACAAAAGATCATTTGGGGCAGGCTTTGTACACAAGTCTTTGAATCTGCAGGTTTGCAGCTGTTCAGCAGATTTTAATACAAGAAAAAATAGCTTAGTTGCCCCATGTGATTTTTATTGTACACAATTCAAATATTTTTAAGTTAGCTTTATAATTATATTAATTAACATAATATGGGCTTTCACCATTATCCATAAATATTTTAAATTGATTACAATTTACATTGATTCCAGACTCTTCAACAAGAACATACATATACCCAATTCAACTGAGTCAAAAATTTTGAATTGAATGTTATTTACTATTTCTAGGGGTTAGCACATCTCATCGAGATGGGCTCTTTAATGTGAGGAAGGGGATTTGGTTGGAGCAAGTCCTGAGCAGCACCCTGGAACTCCCTGCTCCAGGCAGAGCAGGGAAAATCAGACTGTTAGTAAAGGAAAGATCTGTTATAACTTCACTTCATCCGCCTTGGGCTAACAGGGGACCCATGTCCTGAAAACTGAATTTGCTAAATTTTATAGATGTATGATAGCATAAATACCAATTATAAAGCTAAGGTTAGTGTGAATATATAACAACAAAAAGCCCATTTACTCAGTGAGGCCAGATGCCTGTCCACTCCATCTGCATCTACATTCTCACTGCTAAAATTTTGCAAAAACACCTCCCACCTTCCTGAAGTTGCCCATGTGATATGTGAACACACTTTGGAAACTGAGGAAAGCCTGCCAAAAATATGAAATTAAATAACAATATACAAATAGTAATGCTGATTACTGGGCTTAAATTTAACAATTATTAGCAGTGACTGAATTCACCATTGGCAGTGTTCAGAGACATAGACGGTGAATCCGTGGGTAAAAGGTTAGAATGATTCCTTTGATCAAAGGTTTAATAAAATATTTGCATCCTAAGTATGATGAAACCAGAAGAAATTCCCAGAAAAATCACATTACACTACATGTCCTCTTCATACCTGTCCCCGTAGTTCTCAAAGTGTTTCTCTAAACGCACAATACCTAAAGTTATTGTTGGCACATCTGTGGTCACCTCGCCAGTCTGACAACATTAAGAGGGTCTCAGAAGATGAAAGGTGGAAGTATGGAAGAATAAAGTAAAGCAACTTAAGAGCATGAGAATAAGGCCGACCGACTGCCTTCCCTTTTTCTGCAAACCAAGTTAGATGTCTATGGAAATAAGACTTGGTTTTTCTACTTAGGGTTTCAAGGTTCAGATAAAGAATCTTTGAGGATTTTCTGTCCTCTTCCGACATCATTCATTTTATCTTGGATTACTAAAGTATCCTTACAGACCCAACCTCAGAAAACCAAAAGCCTTTGACCCTTTCTTTGAGTCTCTTTCTAGAGAGCACAAGGGAAAATCGCACATGCAGGTGGGCTCTGTTTGTGGTGATGTGTATACCCAGACAAACTATAAGTACTGACAATCTGCCCCCTCCAGTTCTTCAAAAGAACGTCCACATATGCTAAAGAGAATGAAGATACCAAATCAAATCCTTAAGAGATGAATTGTTGCTTTGGTATTAAAGCGATCCCCCAGTACGTGTCATTTTTGAGAACCTGGTCTTCGCTGTTGAAAATCAAGTCAATTGTGTCTCCAGTGTGAAAGTCATGAATACATCCGAAAGTTTGGATCTGAGAGTTGTTTGTTAGAACTTGTATGGGATCTTCATTTTTACGTAGCCATACTTCAAAAGGAGCTGCTCCCTTGTAGGTTCTATCAAAAGCCACTTGTCCGTAAGCTAAGTACAAGCCATCCTGAAGTATCTTCAGCTTCCAGTCAGATACCTTGTTCATGCAAGGAAGTTCAGGAGACGCCATTTGCCATTTTGAGGGCAGAGGTCCTATAAGAAATATACAGAGGAGAAAAATACAAACCATATTTATTATTTTATCCTCTTCCTCACCGTAGTAAATTCTTTATGGCTTACCTGGTTTATACTATTTTTCTTAGCCACAAATCTGTTATTTTTAGTCCTATTCTTGTTTTAGACAGATTGCAAGCCCTATGTATATCTCTTGCTATAAAAGTGCTAAGAAAATGAGTTAAATGGCTCTGTATCCCTTGTTAACTAATATTTATTGAAAGAAAGGAGAAAGGGAGAAAGAAATTATATACCAGGATGCCAACTAGAGTTGACAATCTCTGATTTTCCTGATTTGCTGTGTATCAAGGTAGCACTTTCCCTAATCCATCCATATAGAATTGTGCCCCCCCAAAGTCCCCTTAACCCTACTTTAGTTTTCTCTAAGAAGGGGTCACCATTTAGTATATTATAAATTGTTCACTAATTTATTGTCTAGATGGACTTGAATATAACTTCTTTGAGAGCATCTGTAGTTTGCTCATTGCTGTATTTTAAGCACTAAAAATGTTCTTGCACCTATAATGTGCTCAATAAAGTTCTTTGTTGCTTTGTTGGGATGGGCGGGGCAGGGTGGGGCTCACTATATTGCTAGTCTGTATTTGAACTAGCCTGCCATGGCCCACGCAGCTCTTGAAGTTTCTGGGGTGAAGGACCGTGAGAGGATGAGAAAATAAAGAAGACACAAACCTGGGGTCAGGTGAGGCCGTACTATCCAAATGGGATGAAAGGAACTCACCCTCACTATAAGGAGTTTGTACATTTAGCAACACAGTGTCACATGGTATTCCTTTGCCTAACAACCCATTGCTTGGATTGTCTAAGTGCTTGGTGGTTTTCTGGGCTGAAGCAACTTCTTCACGTGGCTTGCTCCAAGTGCTCTTTATTCTTGGGATAGCCATGCCCCAGCCACGCATGTGTGATCAATTTTCAGCTTCAGTGGCTCCCAACACTAGCTCACTAATTCAAGTGTTCCTTCTACTCCAATCTCAATGAATATTTCTAAATTGACTAATAGCTTCCACATTTCTGAAGTATATACTTTGTGCCTAAATTAAGGATTTTCTTATCATTTTGTAAACATGTGTTATGCAGAACCCACATCAGGTATCGTTATTCAAACTTCCCAAAAATAGATACTGGTAAATTCATAAGTTTATAAATAGATACCACTTGACTATGTAAATATTAGTATCTATAGTTTAATACTGTTGCAAAGGGTCAAGGAAGTGTTCAGATCTCACCATTCATTTTCATAGGAACATAAGATATATAATTATTCACCAAATGTTAGTTGGTTTTGGAGAGCTGTATGATTTCAGGACAGACAGATGTACTTTGACCTGGCTTGTTCCCTAATTCTTCATAATTTTGGTAGTAAGAGGCAAAGCCCTCGAAGCAGTAGCACTGCAACTCAAATTCTCATTCATATTTACATGACTAATATAAAACTTGGAAAGTAGTTTCTCAGGAGGCTGAAGGGAAGATCAGTAGAGCAAGAAACATGCCCTTCTATAAATCATGCCCTCCAGTAAATTTCTTCTTCCTTGACATATAATGGGCAATTCACCAGGAAAAACTATTAATGTTCCTCCTATTTAATTCAATGATGAAGTCACTTAAAGTTAACTCATCAATTGAGGTTCTCAATTTTTACTACATAAAAGAGGAATTGCAAGCATACCATGAGTTCCATTCTTTTCATGGAAAAAAAAAGTGAAACACAATGGTGGAGACCAATTTTTAAAAAGTCTTCATCCCACAAATGGAAATCCAGCAGTTTGAATCACATAGAAACACAATGGCTACAGAGTTAGTAGTTAAATCCAATGTTTTGCTTTCAGGTGAATATATATACTTGTCCTGAAGCCAGTGAAGAACAAAAACGCACTTAATTGAAGTATTGCTTGCATTGTAAGAAATATTCTAAAACTCAGTATACCTGTAAACTGCAGTGTAGTTTTAAATATCGAGTGATATAAAGGGTGACTCAGGAGGTAAGAGAAGAGGAAGAGGAGAAATAAGCAGAGGAAATGGCCATTCCTATTTCATTTCTCTTCCTATACGTTTACTAATAACAGCATTGTTTTCCTTGTGCCCCCTACATATTCCACTGAACACTGGAAATATGTGAGCTGCATTTTGAAGAACCATTCTAGAAATTTGAAGCTTGTTCTTATTAAAACACAGAAGTTGATTCCCGTATCTCCAATTTGCAAGCTTTTCAGTGTAATGCTTTCCTGCCCAGAGATGTGGTCTGAAATGAACTTTCTCAGGGCATGGGCTCATCACTCTGGTTCACCTCCAAAAGCCTCCACTCCTAGCATGCTACTCAGCAAATGATAAATAATTATAAATAGTAGCCGAAATGAGCAAAGGAGTGAATATAGGTATCTCTTTCTTGAGAGTATTGACATCTCCCTTCTTGTATCAAAAACTAAGAAAAGTAAAAAGGATATGTTAAAGGTATAATACTCACCAAACTTGGCCACGCAGAACTCTTTAGCAGACATCTGTGGAAGAAAAAGAGGAATTTGGTCAGCATAGTGACAGCATAGCCACTCTCTTGATTGATTTACTTACAGCCTTGTATTCCTGAATCAAACTACTTTGCCATGGCCATAAAAAAATCACTCTCTCCACCATGTATTCCTCTGTTGCCCTTTGCAGACAACCAGCTACTTTTCATTACCTAGATGTCTTTTGATTCTTCTTACAAAGCTAGTTTCTCATTTCACCCATCTTTCTTCTAGCCATGGGACAAATGGAAAACTGGATCTTGGTTCTCTACCTCTTGGCTATGAAACTTTCTGTCAACAGAAGTCACCACACCCTAATGAACCACAAGAAGAAAATAATGGAGCTTCTATTTGTGTTTGTCTTTATGTAAAGTAATAAGCAATCAACCTCTATAAATCTTTATAACTCAGGTTGATAAAGTCATCCTTACCTAATGTGCAAGTAATTACATCATAAACAGTAACTGAGATCTGATCGTTTCAAACTGCTGCAACATATTACAATTTACTTGGTAAGTGATACCACCAATTGTGATTAATTTTACAAATATAACCATTTTCAATCTTAAAAGCGCCAAAAGACGTTTTAATAAAATAAGATCTAATCACAAAATAAGTTTGTATTCAAATTCATTGGTTTCATTGTAGCAAAAAGATATTTTTTATAAACTTCAAGATTTGGATATTTTAAAAATTTCTCTGGCTACTGTGCTAAGAGTAAAGTAAACAAAGCAGTGAGACAAAAAACACCGTTGCTGTAACCATCTAGGCAAGAGAATGCAGTGCCTCTGACCAAGGTGCTAGCGCCGGAGATGGTGATGAGCGTTTGGATGACAAGGCCCCTTGTGGTTCCTGACATGACTGCGGGGTGAGGGATGAGAAGGAAGATGGCCCCAAGATGTCAGCTAGAGTGATTAGAAGGAGAAATTGCCACTCACTACATTGTCAAGATTTTAGAGGGATATACACTGAGAAGGGAATGGGGAGTTTGGTTTTAGATGCTTATTAAATATCCAAGTAAGGGTATCAGATAGGCAGGTATATATGGGAAGCTGGAATTTAAGGTCTATGTTAAGAACTTAGCCAGTTTCAGGTTGTTGCTTTAGGTCATGGCATTATATGAGACCATTAATTCAGGGACTACAATCAGAAATGAAAACCTGATATTTAGATGACAGTGAATGAGAAAGAATTTCAAAAAGAAACTGAGAAGGAAAGGCCAGTGGGTTTAAGAGGAACTAGGAAAGTAGTATTTGGAAACCAAAGGTAAAATGTATTTGGGAAAGAAAAATGATCAGCTAATAAAGCAATAAAGAAAAGAACGGTGAATTGGCAGATTTAGAAATATGGTAGCCATTAGAGTTCCTCACAGAAATAGTTTCTATTGTGTATTATGAAATATTCCAGTGGAGGAAAATGAGGGAATTGAGAGCTATAGGCTGCTTCCAGAGCAACACTAAAAGTCTTACACGGAAGGGAATCATAAATTTAATGTTAAGACCTTTCAGAAAGATCTTCCATGTTTTTCTAGAAACATGTAAAAACTGCATTTAACCAGTGTTAGAGGTTTTCCATAGCTGGAATTTTGACATTAAAGTATACTGAAAAGAAAAGCAAGTAAGCAGAGAGTTTATACAAGGTGCTATAATTATAGACCAGAATTTCGTTGTGTAAGGAAAGAAAGGATTAGAACGTGAGGGACATGTTAATTTAATTTTAAAAACTCACATCACATCAATAGATGATGGATTGAAAACTGAGTTATTAAATTTTACAAACATAAGATAAAAATCTCCTGTGAAATAATTTTTCAGGTACGGTAAAAAAAAAAAAAGTAAGTTAACAGCATATAGACTACACATTGCTATATCACAAAATTTTAAATTGAGAAAATAAAAGAAGCACATTTTTCAAATTATTAAAAAATTATTTCAATTATTTTAGCTTCTTTATATTGTGCATTAATGTGTCTTAAAAGATAGAATATCTTACTAAAAGCAAAATCACTTTACCCTGAAAATAAGCGCAATAAACATTATGTAGTTTGTCCTTATGAACGTTCATTTTATATACCATATCTATTTAGTGTACAGTACCAATACTTGTATATAACACAATCATTACCATATATACATTAAAAATTATATTGAAAACATTTTATTGATAAGGAAGTACAATCTAAAAAGCCTGGAAGCCACTATTTTAAGAATAATAATCCCTGGATTCCCTGCCACTGGATTTTTCTCTTGCAAGTATTTCATTCTTGTTGTAGAGTTCTTAGAAGAGATGTTTAAGTCCATTCAACCCTTGATAGATGTATATAATTAGAACTCTTTTCTACCTTGGGTTGAGAATAAAACCCAGGGCATTGCAGATGTTAGACAAGCATTCCACTGCCTACCTACATCCCCGGCCCTACACATACACCCTTATCCTTCTCTATCAGAGGGGGTTAATAAGAGGACAAAGCTCTCATGGAAGCTTATGGTTTTTAATGAGGTTATTCTTGCTGCAAAGAGTCTTCCCAGATAGCCTGTCTGAGCCTGCTAATAAGTATTAGCTGTTTTGACAATGATGCTAATCATAATGAAGAATTAAACCTATATCCCAACACTATACCAGCATTGTAGTCAGGGAGGAGAAATTTAATGTGTGGTTGTTGCCTCTTGCAGATGTTAGACCAAAGATAGCAAAAATTTGCAATCTTTTTTAAAAATATGATTATATACATGAAACAATTAGGTAACAATTTAAATATAACCAAGTGCCAAAATATATGCCATGGATCATGTGCCAGCTACTAGCAGATACAAGGATACACAGAGAAAGTCATAGACAAATTAATTGCCAGAACAAGAAATTCCAGATGTTGTATTACAGGTTGCTTTGATGTCAGTCCTGTAATTATTGCCATAAGTGAAAATCTGAAATGTCATCAATATGACTGACAGGCATGATCATTGACTGAGAAGGAGTATAAATTGGCAATGAAAATTCATACTGTTAAAAGGTTATGCTAAATTTATATTCGTTGTAATCTCATTAATGGTAAATGGTGCAAATATGAACCACAACCACCTTCTGAAAGTCTACCAAGTGTCTAGTGTGTTGGGTACCGTACTGTACTGTACTGTTGTCCTTATGATAACTCTAAGAGTTAGCATGCCCATTTTGAAGATGAAGGAATAGTGTGGAGAAGGCTGAGTAATTAGCCCAAGTTATGCAGCTGATAAGAGCCAAGGCCTCTGTCCAAACTTTCTATATATAATTCCGGTGATAGTTGGAAGGAATAATTACTTATACAAAAGCACAGTGGACTTTTGGTTTAGTTTAGCTTAGTTTAGTTTTTAGTTTACAAAGAACAATTATTGTTGAAACTTCACTTTGGTTTCAGTCTTTTAACCACACTTTGGCATCGTAGTTGGGCTCAAAATGGCCAAACTTTAATAATTCTTTCTTTTAACCAACCCTGGTCTGTTCATCATTAGAAATAAAATTTACTCTTCTTTTAAGTGCAAGTATAACTTCCCCTCTGAAAGCATCTTTCATTTCACTGAGCAGTGGAGTTCCCTAAATATTTAGTTTCTTAGCGACTACTACTATAGTCATTTTCATTTAGGGTCTGACTGAACTCCTTGAGCCTGAAGTCTGTCCTTTTAGTTAAATATCTTATGGAGGGGAGGAAGAGAAGGGAAAAACTACCTTTTATAGATAAATTTTTGTTGTTGTAGAGGGACCATTCTGTCAATCTAACTCCTTTTAATTTGGTATCTAGAGCATCTAGAAGGTGGGGCTTTGTCAGTAAAAACTAGAGAACAAAAATGAAATGAAACTTCCAGGTTCTATATATCTTGAGAATGCGGAAGGGGCTAAATTATAATGAATCACTGCTCGCCAACCACTAGAATCTTTTTTCCAAAGTTGACTGTTTGTAACCAATAGGGAGAGGGAAGTTGCAGGCCAGTTCAAAGTAGAAAACATGAGCTAATATCATTGTATTGTCAACCAGGTCATTGGCTTTCCCATAGGAATTAATCTCCCAAGCATCCAGTCAGGAAAATATCCAAAATATCTTTCATATTTCCCTAAACTTGACACAAAATCTGGGCTGTCTTGAGAGGCAGAATCTTTTATTAAAAAGCTACATAATTTGTAGGAAATAGAATCCAGAATGACAGCTTCAAAGGTCGAGTAATGCAGTTCACTTCTGGCAAGAGATATCCATTGAGAAAGGCGATTCCCTCCTCACCGTCATATGAAGGAGCTAACGATATCTGTATCCAGTGTTCTTCAGAGCCATCTGGCTAATGAAACTTGAGATGTCTGTTTAGAAGGAAAAGGCACTTCCTAATTTGTTATTGCTGTTTTCACCCTTTCTCTCCAAAAGTCTAACCGCTCAGAAATTCTAACGTTCTTTTCTTTCTGCTCAAACTTCTCCAGAAAGTTCGCACTTCTTGACATATCCCTTGATGGAACAGATTAGAAATGCACATTCCTACCGTTGTGGAATACTATGTAAAAATTTAGCCAATGCTATACTTAGCCTAACTAAACTAGTACGCACAGTATATGGCTTCCTCCACCTTTTCTCAGTTGCTTTTCAATATCTTAAGTGATAGAACCACATATTTGAAATCTTCCTTGGTCAGTCACCTTAGAAAAATGTTTCTGCAGTCACATCCCAACCCTTCCTTACAAGGGCATATACCATGCTGCTCTCCCCAAGGCTGGGTTTTCAACTGGACCCAGAAATAGGTTAACTCCTGAACTATATAATGTGTTTCTTATTTTCTCTTTGGTTAGTGCAATGTAGCCAACAAAGGAAAAACTAGTAGAAAACTATTTTCTCTCTGTTACCAGTGTATCCCCTTTTGTAGGTCTATAATTTGGACTGCAGTTCAATGGGAAATTCCTGACAAGCATCAGGGGCTTCCCAAATAGCCATGTGATTCCTTCTTCCTCCATGAAGCCTTCCTAGATCACTCTAGCCCAAAGTCATTGTGCCCACATCTGAATTGTTAAATATTATGTCCTATATCACTCTGAGGTAAATTGTCAATCACTGTATTTTAGAGCTAGCAAGAACATTTTAGTCAGCAAGTCCATTCCCCTTGCACCATGTTTCAGATGAAAAAGCTGAAAACCAGTGGGATTAAATAACTTTCTCGGTCTTGAACAGCTGGTTAGTAGGAGACCTAGAACTAAAATCCAATTTCATTACTCCTAGTTCAGTGCCACTTCCCTGTTCAAAGATATACCACCCACTTGACCACTGACTCATTCAATCAAGTGATTCTCTCCTTCAGCTCAGTTCTGCAGCAAGTATTTAACATTTTCTAGTATCTTTTTGGCTCAGAACACTTAAATAGCTTCCCAAGTCATGTTATGACAAGAATAAAGCTACTACATTATTTGTACTCACAAATCTCTTCCTTCTATCTCAAACAACACTGAATGACAACAGTAATAATTAGACTAACAAGAAAAAAATCATAATGAATAACAGCCTTAGGTTCTGTCCCCTCCTTACCTTGAGTGAGATTAAAGTAACGATCAGTGTACAGAAGAAGCAAAACAAAAAAGCTACTGCTGAGCACAACCAAGGCTTCCAGCATGATCTCTGTGTATCTGGAGGACTTGAGTGGCTTAGAGACGCAGCCTCCATGTGGCTCAAACTCATTTTCTCTGAAAGAGCAGGAGCTGTGGACAGCAGATATTCACAAGTGATGAATGAACAATGCAGTGTCATGTTTTGTAGTGCATAGTATGATAATTAGCAGTGGGTGTTAGGGGTGGAGTTTTTCCTTCAGACACTGTTGGAAAACGATACTTCTAGGCTAAGTGCTGACTGGCACATGGCACTGGATCAAATTGCAAATAGAGTGGAAAGTGTAAAGCCAACACAAACACAGCGGAGGAAAAAAAACAATACAAGGGAAGTTCAGCGGGAAGGAAAAAAACCTTTCCTCAAAAAAGAGGAAGATCAATGCCCATCAATGCTCATCTATGAAAGCACTCTGAATTATTTTCCTAAGAAGAAGTGAAGTTTGAAATTAAGCCATGTGAGACTCCAGATGTCACACATCTGTCAGAATATTGGGGAACTGGAGAAGCCAACACCCATAGTTTCAAAAATAGTGTCAATGAAGTCATCTTGTTGTATACCTTATCTGCATACAATTTTTATTTGTCAAGTGTACTTCAGTGAGGTTGGAGCCAGGCATGGAGGGACATTCCTGTAACCCCAGCACTCAGGAAGCTGAGGCAGGAGGATAGCTACACAGTGAGTTCAAAGCCAGCATGACCTACCTAGTGAGACTCTGTCTCAAAAACCAAACCAAACAAAACAAAATAAAAACAAACAAAAAAAAAGTTGAAAAAATCAGATCGAATCTATGGTTAAAATATTTCAGCCAGGTGTGATGGCCCATGTCTGTAATCCCAGCACTGGGTAAACTGAGGCAGGAGGATCACTGTGAGTTGGAGGCAAGCCTGGATTATTTAAGGAGACTCTGTAACCAAAAAAATCACAAAAAAGTAACAAAAACCTTTCATCAATTTCTAACATATAAAATTTACTTATTCTGAGAGTCTCTAGAAGAAAACAATGTATTACTAGGTTTTAATAAAATTGTATAAATACAAAAAGTTTAATTTTGTCATATTTTACCTTTTAAAATCTGAAGCACTGATTCCGTCATCAAACAGAAATAAAGTTATCATAAAAGGCCCTGTTCTGCCCTGTTCCCCCAACCTGAACTTACACTCTGTTGCATAAAATCATGGGCTTTGGTTCCTGGCATCCAATGTGCTGATTTACTATAAAATTGAGGAAGTCCTCTGGTTCTCTGTACCTCAGTTTTTCTATGTGTTAAACTCAAATACCTTTTTTTAGTATTATGTGCTAAAAAAGAGCCTGGCTTTTTAAATCACAATGGATCTGAAAGCACTACATAGTGCTACGGAGTCCTTACCTGCTTTGCAGCTGCAGGCATGTTACTTGACTTCTCTGATTCTCAGTTTCCTTTATTGTAAAGTGGAAAAAATTTGCACTTTTTGCAGGGGTGGAATAAATGTGAGAGGATGTTTTAAAAGAGATGTTCCCATAAGTGTTAAAGTTTTCTCCACTCTCTTTAGAAATGTAAAAGTTAATTCAATTATGTAATCCTAGAAAAAGATAAACATTCATCCATTTCCTGCAGAAAATATGTCAATTAAAATTCACTTAAATGAAAAGAGGTAAAACAAAAGTTGTGGGAAAATATTTTTAATTGATGAGAGAAACAAAAATTCTGAAAATTAGAACAAAAAATATTGAACATCCTCATTCTTAAAAGAGGAAGCTAAGAATAAAAGAGACTGAGTGGACATTTAATGATGGAGTGGAAAATCTAGCCTGTTTTAGTATGAATCTATTCGGAATAATATTTCTCACTTGACTATACCATTTTAAAGTTGCTGTGGTTTCTCTTGATCACTAAACTATCTCTGAAGTGATAACCACAGAAGAAGAATTTCCCCGTGCAGCAAATGCCTCTACAGCTCTCTACCAAATGCTATAAGGCAAGGATGAATAGCAAATGGGCTCTAGAATAATGCTCTGAGCCTCTAAGTCTTGTGGTTGTATCATGCCTAGAATACCATATGCAAATGTAGAATGTTAAACTGCCCGTTGAGAAGTTGAGGCATTTCCTTTTTGCTCTTCTGATTTGGTATTTTCTATCTCTCCTAGTTTTAGACAGAGCTGCTTCTGTTTACTAACTTCTGTAAACATTTGTTCACAGGGAAAACTGTCCCAAATGGAACCAATTTTTTCCTTCTGCCCTTAACCAGGGTTGGCTCTGATATAACCTACCTAATTATTTTAAGATCTTCTGAGAGGATCTAAAGAAACATGACGTATTTATCTCAAGAGGACTACATTTCAGAGCCAGATTTCATTAAACAGGATCCAAAAATGGAGAAACCCCTAGTTGAGACAAAGGACAGTAGAGAAGCTTTTTCTTAAATTCTAGGATAGTGAAACATAATTGATACCATTTTTAGTGTAAGCTCTGAAAGCTGCGTGTAACATTCCAGGATTAGACAACATGTAAATAAGAACCAAACTCAAACTTTTGTATTTATGACATGTTCTGGATATGATGTTTGGGAATTATATTTTGAAAAATTATGTCCAACTTGAAAATGTTTTTGGAACATTTACTATCTGACCACTATTTTGCTGAGAGCCTGGGGATATTAAAAATTACAGCTGCCAAGAAATTGGTCATCCTAGTCAATCGAAACCTTACACTTAGGGAGACAGGTGTCCAAATGAATGCCATAAATATGACAATGCTTCAGAAAACAGAAAAGTCAAGATAAGTTTAAATCATTGGAAGGGCAGATTAGAAATGGATTGTTCGAGAGAGAAAAAAAAGAATGTATTATTTCTTGAGTGATAAAATTTAAGGAATAAATATTCAGAGGTATAAACATCTGTAAATATTAGAAATGAAAATAAGAATGTAGACAATAGCAAAATATCCTCTATTTTTTGTAGCACAAGGATGAAACCCAATACCCTATAAATGCCAGACAAGCACTCTACCACAGAACTATATTGCTAGATACAATAATTTTCATTCAAGAGTGAAAAATGAGGAATTTCAGAAAAACTAGTAGAAGTTCTATACTATTAATATTTTTAAAAGGACTCAAGATATGCTTGATTAAGCAAATCTAACTCTAAGCTGGCCTGCTTTGAATTCAGAGTGAGTTTTATAGGAACTTGACTGGTTCACTGTGAAAACACATTACATTTGATGATCAAGAACCCTGTATTGATATTTCCCTCTATAAAAATAAAACTATTGATCTGACAGATGAATTATTGTCCATGGAGGTAGAAGACTCCTCTTCTTTTAAACTTTCAAATTCTTTGTGCTCCAATATGTCAGGTAGATCCCCTCTGGAGTAAACAGAATGAGAAAAGTTTTACAATCCAGGAAAGGATGTGAGTGAAGTATCAGTGTTCTCCCAAAGCCTGTGTTACTCTGTGTTTATTCCTTGCCCCATTTCCTTATGCAACTGTTTATCATGATTTTATTCTTAAGCAAATGTACAGTGTCCCAAGTCCAGTCAATATATCCAAAATCGATATTCAGTGAGGAGTGAGACATATGCCACTTTGCCTTCTCTGGATACCTAAGTATTCACTGTCATGACAAACAAGGATCATTTGGTTTGAAGACGTAAAAAGGTAGACAGAGTAAAATAAATAAAAGAGAAAGACAGAAAAAAATAGACACAATAACAAAATACAGTTTTAATCGTGAAATTTTATGAAGGTGACAACAGTATCTATTAAAGTTACTAAATGTCTATTCTGTGAAAAATTCCAGATAGCTCACTCTATATAAGTAAATATATGTGTACATGTATATATAGAAATAGGGAAATACAGGAACATATATAGAAATGTAGAATATATATAAATATTTATACACATAAATATATAGAGAAATACAGAATTATGCATATTTCTATATATGCATACATGCATCAGGGTGTGCGTATTATATGTATAATAAATTTAAAAACATATAAAGGAACTTCTCCTATCAATCTCCAGATTATACTCTCTAAAGAAATGGTAGTAGCTGTAATCCAGCTGGTCTAGGAACTATTTGTAATTCACACTATGTATGGATTTCACAACATGGAGACCTATATCTGTGCCTCATCTTAGCTTGTTTCTTGTGTTTGTTTTTGCATGTCAAGTGTTTTATGAACTTCTGGCAAATTCTTTACTGTTTGTTAGTGTTCTACTGGATCAAGTACAGCCTTTAAATAGCAACTGTACTTTCAACTTCCATGGAAGTCTTTGTCCCCTAGCCACCTGCCTTACTGCTAATGTTTTAGAAAGGCTGTGGAACACTGTAGGTACCTGTCTGTCTAGCTTGAGTCTTCTGTGTTAGCACAGAGTTTTGGAAGTTTGTGGGTATCTGTTTTCTCTAGACTAATCAGTATTGTGTCAGTATCCTGGCCATGGGAGGAGCATCTTAAATACCTTTTGATGAGAAATGTGACTTCCTGCTTGGAATCCTAACTGAAAATAGATTTTCCATTGAGCAATGGGCATGCCATTACCTGTTGGAAACCATCCAACATCACCTTAGAAGCTGTGATGAATAGACATTGCTGTTAAATCTTGCCCAGTATCACACAGATTGCCAGAGAATTATGCATTTTACCTATCAACCAAGTTGAAATAGAAAGGCCTTAAGAGTCCTAAGACGAACTTTTCTCCCCAAATTCACTGAATTTATTTGTGCAGTTCTTGAAAAGTGGATGTGAGGGAAGTAGTTTCCCTTGACTTTTCTATTTCATTTCCCCATTTGGCAAAATCCAAGAATTTTCCACTCCAACCTACTATACTACATCCCCACTGGAAAACAATCAGCACTTTCACTGATTTCCACACCCAGCTCTGATATGTGTTCATACAGAAACCTAAGAGGCGCTTTCCCATCTGGATTTTCATCTTTAGCACTGACCCTACACCATTCTATGTAAGCATGTTGGTTCGGGGTTATATTTGTTTGTTTTATCACAGAAAATCAAAATGAGTAAGAAATATTTGGATTTTTCTACACAAAATGATTCCTAAACCCAACAGAAGCTATTTTATTCCCTTTATTCATTTAAGAAACGTTATTAAGGAAACTACCTTATCTAAGTACAATGCTAGGTGCTTAAATAGTGATGGACAAAGGTCAGTCTCTATCTTCAAATTTGTTGTTTTGTCTCCGTACAGGTAGCTCTAAACAGAGAAAAATATATGAAGCCAACACAGGAGAAAATGTAGTTACTGAGTAAATATTAAACTCTTGATCTCACTATAGTGA